GTGAAAATAAAAGAAATACTTTAAGCCTCTCCAAAGGCAGATGTCAAGAGAATCAGTATGTTTTGCCCACAATACTGATATTTCCTATGAATAACTTTTAAACAATTTTTAGTTAATTAATTAATTTATTTATTTAGACAGAGTCTTGCTCTGTCACCCAGGCAGGAGTGCAGTGGCATGATCGCCACTCACTGCAGCCTCAACCTCCCAGGCTCAAGTTATCCTCCCACCTCAACCCTCCGAGTAGCAGTAATTCCTAGTAGTAGTAATCCCTATAGGACTACAGGCATATACCATCATGCCTGGCTAATTAATTTTTTTTTTTTGTAAAGACAGAGGTTTCACTATGTTTTCCAGGCTGGTCTCGAGCTCCTGAGCTCAGGTGATCTTTTCACCTCAGCCTTCCAAAATGCTGGGATTACAGGCGTGAGCCACTGTACCTGGCCAAAACAATTTTTATTTATCTTATTTTTATTTTTTTTAGAAATGAGGTCTTGCTATGCTACCAAGGCTGGAGTGCAGTGGCCATTCACAGGCATGATCATGGTGCTCTGCAGCCTCCAACTTTTGGTTAAAGGGATCCTCCTGCCTCAGCCTCCCAAGTAGCTGGGACTACAGATATGCACCACTCCACCCAGCCTCAACTTTTAAAAATTAGGTATTATTTATTTATTTATTTTGAGACATAAGTAAATATGCTCTGTGGATAGTAGTCTCAGGCCTGTTGTGTTAACCCTTTTCTGTACATTATTTGTACTAAATATCATCCTCTAAAGTGAGGCTGTTGGGAAATAGGGTGGTGTGGGTATGTGAATGAGGGGGATATGAAGAGGGTGGGACTTTGTGCCCACCTTCCCACTTTTCTCTTTAATAAACAGGATTCTATGGAACATTTTGTATGTAAGAAAGGTATGGCTATTAAAATAAAGTTTAAAGGCCGCTCCTTTAAACAATGAAATAAATTTCAAGCCAAAGATTGATAAAATCACATGTGGATTTTAGTAAGATCAGCCCTAGAGTTGGTGGAAGATATTTTACAGATCGTGGTAGTGGTAAATTTGGCACAGTGGTGGCGATCAGAGTCATACATCAGTATGTGGAGGCTATGCATTGATTTGACCTAAAATAGTGGGATATCTTGAAGGGAGTGGCCCGCAGGTCAAAGCTGTATTAAAAGATTTTCTGATTTGCAATTGGTTAAGGAAACAAAGCTTTGTCTAAAAATTTGGGGTCAACAGAAAAGAATGTTAGCTCTGGCTCATGAGCATAACCTCCTTCAGGCCTCTCAGGAAGAAATTTAGAACAAAGAACAGTGGTCAGAATTCAGTCCTCAGTTCCTCCTTATCTGAGGTCTGTGTGCCAGTGGATCTGTTTGGTAGGGGTTGGAGTTTCTGAAAAACAACTCAGTGACATATATTAAGATGTTATCTTTAGTTTCCATGGAGAACATCTCTAACTTCCTTGGCCATTATTTTGAGTTCCTATTATCTTCTTATCAAGTGACTCATTTACTTCTCAGGGCTAGCTAGGTGTCTGGAATTTCCCTTGAAGGAATTCCAGATTTTTCTTTTCCACATTGAGGGGGCATGGCAGGCCCTAAGAGAGACCCTGCTTCCTTTAAAGGGCTCAAGCTGGGGTGGTAGGATAAGGAAGGAGAGAAGGGAATAAATTAGAGAGTATTTCACATACAAAATTGAGTAGCATCGATGATTGATTGGCTGAGAACCTGGTTGAGGAGTGGAGAACAGGATTGTGGGAGGGAGAGGAATATATCAGTAATCACTCTGAAGTTTCTCCCTTGGTTGACTCCAGAAATCTAAAAGAGGGGGTAGAGAAGAGCGTTTTTCTCTTGCGAGATTCTCAAATCCTGTAACACTAACTGGGTATTCAACAGTTCAATTTGATTCTGACACTCTTTATTTGAAGTGAGCATCAGATCCCACAAGTAAAAGGGCTCAGTCCCACAGAATGCCCCCATTTCACATGCCAGCTGCAAATGGGGTGCACAGGCTACCAACATATCTACCTGGCAACTACAAAATCGGGAATTCCCATAACCTTCCTCCCCTTTAGATTTGATAATTTGCTAGAATAGCTCACAGAACTCAGGGAAAAATTTTGCTTATGCTTACTGGTTTGTGATAAAGGATACAACTCAGGGAGCCCAATAGAAGAAATGCTTAGGGGGATACCTAGAGGTTGAACGCACCTAGATGTGTTCGCCAACCAGAAGCTCTCCAAGTCTCCTTGAGTGTTTACAGAGCCAATCTCTAGCCCCACCTTCCTGGGGTCAGTGCGTGGGGCTGCAAGTTCCAACCTTCTACCTACTTGGTCCTTCCGGCTACCAGCCTCACCCTAGAGTCACCTCCTTAACATAAATTCAGGTGTGATGCAATGAAAAACAGAAAACACTCCTATTACTCAGGAAATTCCAAGGGTTTTAGGAACTCCGTGCCAAGGAACAGGGACAAAGATCAAATATATTTCTTATTATGTCACACTGGCAAATATCTCAAATTGCCGGGAACATTTAGGGACTTTCAACCTGCATCTCCAGCTTCAACATTGAACCCAAACCTTATCCTGGTGCTGTAGGGCCCAGTGTTCCAGGATGCCCTTAGATTCTCTTTTACAGGCCTTAAGCACCTATATCAGTTAGGGTACAACTTAGGCTTCTGTAACAGAGACCCCAATTACACACTATTTATTTATTTTTATTTTTATTTTTTTTGAGACAGAGTCTCGCTCTGTCGCCCGGGCTGGAGTGCAGTGGCCGGATCTTGGCTCACTGCAAGCTCCGCCTCCCGGGTTCACGCCATTCTCCTGCCTCAGCCTCCCGTGTAGCTGGGACTACAGGCGCCCGCCACCTCGCCCGGCTAGTTTTTTTTGTATTTTTTAGTAGAGACGGGGTTTCACCGTGTTAGCCAGGATGGTCTTGATCTCCTGACCTCGTGATCCGCCCATCTCGGCCTCCCAAAGTGCTGGGATTACAGGCTTGAGCCACCACGCCTGGCTATACACTACTTTAAAAGCAAGATAGAAGTTTATTACTCACTTTTTATTTCTTTTGGAGAGAGAGTCTCACTCTGTTGCCCGGGCTGGAGTGCAGTGGTGTAGGTCATAGCTCACTGCAGCCTCAAACTCCTGGGCTTAAGCTGTCCTCCCACCTCAGCCTCCCCAAGTAGCTGGGACTACAGGAACATGCTAATTTTAAGCCTGGCTAATTAAAAAAAAATTTTTTTTTTAAAATTTCTTATTTTTAGTAGAGATGAGGTCCCACTATGTTGCCCAGGCTGGTCTCGAACTCCTGAGCTCAAGTGATCTGCCCGTCTAAACCTCCCAAAGTGCTGGGATTACATGTGTGAGCCACTGTGCCTGGCCAGAAGTTGATTATTCTTTTACATAAAAATCCAGGTAGGCAATCCAGAGCTGGTTTGGCAGCTCAGCATTGTTGGAGAACCAGGCTTTGTGCATCTTGTTGCTCTGCTTTATTCAACATTCTGTGTGCATCTCATTGCCTCTTCCAGCTGCAGTCATTACACTTTCACTCCAGTTAGAGAGAGGAGAGGAAAAGGGAGCCAGGAGGATATGCCCTTTTCCTTTAATGGGGTATATCAGAACTACACACGTTTCTGCTCATATCCCATTGTTAGAACCTGCTCACATGGCCATACCTGACTGCAAGAGAGGCTAGGAGATGTAATATGTATTTGGGCAGCCATGCATCCAGCTAAAACTTCTATTTAGAAAGGGGGAACAAATAATGGAAGACAGCCGTCCCTATCTCCAACATTCATAGTATATTTAAGGACTTTTCCCCCTCTTTTGGGGAAAACATGGACCTAACATTGTGATTGTTAATTCTTTTCACTAAAGTAATTTTTATGTTACTGTGATAAAGGAAACACAATGTTCAATGAAATGAATAAAATGCTGGCAGAGTACCTTTGGGAAATCTTGTTCTGAAAAATGTGCCAGGTTGCTGCTGTTTATTGTTGCTTCTAAACAGTAGAGAAGGAGTTAGCTGCTCATTAAACCTGCCCCAGATAAGGAATGGAATTATGGTTGGACCTCGCCACAATCATTTCTCTCCTAGGAGAGACTAAAAATAGGATCAGAACACCACCCTGCTTTGAAGCAGACACTCTTGCTGTGTCTCAACTCCATGTCCAACTCCCTAAAGGTTATGGAAAACAGAAAAACATCTTAGAAGCAGAGGGCTGAAATCGATGTGGTAATATCTGAATGTTGTGTTGTCTTTGGGTAGAGAATTAAGGAGCAGTGGAAAACCCTTGGGACTAATCTTGATGTCTCTGCCTTGGTGCTTAAGAACCAGAATTAGGGCTAAGTCAAAGAAAGGCAACTCTCTTGCTTTGGGAAGGAGATGAGGAGCACCAGTGGCTCTTTTAGTGGACTGGAAGCAAAGCAGAAGCTGTGGTAGGAATAGGCGTTCTGGAAGAGAGGTTACAATTATAGTTTATGGGTTTGGGGTTTATTCCCTTTTGTTAAAATAAAACAATTAGAAATATATTCATTGTTTAATTTTTTTTTTTTTTTTTTGAGACCGAGTGTCACTCTGTCACCCAGGTTGGAGTACAGTGGCACAATCTCTGCTCACTTCAACTACTGCTTGCCAGGTTCAGGCAATTCTTGTGCCTCAGCACCCCAAGTAGCTGGGATTACAAGCATGCCCCACCACACCTGGCTAATTTTTGTATTTTTAGTAGAGATTGGGTTTCAACATTTGGTCAGGTTGGTCTTGAACTCCTGACCTCAAGTGATCCACCTGCCCTGGTCTCCCAAAGTGCTGGGATTACAGGCGTGAGCCCCCATGCCTGGCTGAAAATGTATTTTATATTATTTTTATCAAAATGACATTTACAAAAACTGCTCAAATAGATGTAACTAGTTAAAAGTTTGAATTTGACCCTTATGAAACATGTAGAGCACTGTGAAATGTATTTAAGAAAGTCTAAAATTTTATATGTTTTTGTTTATAGCCTATACAGTTCAGACATCTGAGAGCATGGCCCCAACTGCCACTTCAGAGACTTACTTGAAAGCTTTGGCCGTTTGCCATGGACCTCTGGACCACTATGATTTTCTGATCAAAGCTCATGAGCTAAAGGATGATGAACATCAAAGAAGAGTCATACAGTGTTTGCAGAAATTACACGAGGACCTTAAAGGATATAATATAGAGGCAGAAGGCCTTTTTTCAAAGGTGAGGCTTGTGTGATATGAAAGATTAAACAGTTAAAAGTGTAAGCATTTTCTAAAATGGATGCAATGCAGTAGGGCACAATCATGAAACAGCTTGAAAAATTTCTGCCAGTTCCTTTACACAAATTCTGTTGGATCCCCATTCCTAGCCTTTTGATGTTCCATAGCTTTCTTTTGCCTTCAGGGATTTGAATAGCTTCATATTTAAGAATTTTAAAAATGCAGTCCAGTCTAGATAAAAACTTCTATGGAAATCAAAGCTTTCCCTTTTCTCTAGCTCAGGTCTCATCCAGGGATCAGCGTGGAAAAGGAGGAGTGATGTGTTCTTTCCCTTTTCTTCCTCCTTTTTTCTCTGTTTGCCTGACATCTCTAGGGTCAGAATGAGAAGAATGAAAGATTAGAGTGAAACAGCAGTCATAAGCGACCAGTTATGTATGGTAGATGCTGACA